GCCAAATATTTCTGCATAATAATCCCAGGTAGCAGAAAAAAGCCAGTGACATTTCTATATGCTATATCCAGGCTAAATCTTAATATATATATTTTGTTTTATCTATTTAATATACACATCAATGGAAATATATCTGCATCTATAACATACAAACATGTTGCTTGAAGTATGCCGAAGATATCTAGAATATCATTAAATCTTAATCAAATATTTTTCAAATGAATATGTGATTGCAGCTGAAATTAAATGGTGCATTAAACTATAGTGCTACTGGCTAGAACTTTCAAGTTCCTTCCCAGTGTCATCTTTCATAATGTTTCCTTTTAAGTTGGTTTAATAACATAATCATTATTCAGAAATGAGCTTTTGTGAAAAAATTAATAATTACTTTGTCACTATTTATTTAATGAATCCACGGAAAGACTTCATTAAATTATAAATGCCTCGTTACTGATATTCTTATAATAGATTTTTGAAATTATAGTGTGAGCCAGTTATCCATTTCAAGGAAGATACAATGCCGAAAGATCAGTACATGTCCAGTGAAATTACTGCTGGTTTTCCTAATGCAATATTCATGAGAACTTGCCGGAGACAATCACATTTAATCCCAGAGAATAAGAATTTGAAATGAATTCTTTTAAATTGTAATTGCCCATTGGTAAGAAAGTTCGGCAAGTCTTATTGTTTCTATAATTGAAATGGCTTTCTATTCTGTCAACATGGGAGATATGTGTTTGTAGAATATTTACAATTTCTGAATGGAAAAATAAATGTAGGTCCTAAATATAATTGATATTAATATTTTGTGGTTTATATGCATTTTAATGTAATTGTTTTCAGGGGGAAAAATGATCCTGTGTCTATCATTTATGATTAATTGTTTTTCAAGGATGTGATGTAACCTGGGTGGGGTAATAATATCTGAATTAGGGTAGAGTGTGTTATCGTTTGAGTCTACTTTAGTGGTATACAGTTCTGTTCTAGCAGATGTTGGAGTTTGATCCATGAGATATCAAAGATGTTGGAAGTTCAAGGACTAAATTAACATTTTCAGAGGGAGATTAACATTATTTCAAAGTCAGAAGATTTCCAAGCATTACCAAACCTCATTATCTCTTAATAGTTTGTTTTACTGTGTTGCAAGAAAAGCATGTCTGTGAAGTCTGGGGATTTTTGTACCCTAGAAAATAAGCATTTTACATTTCATAGTGCAGAAAATTTAGGGATGAGGTAAAGGGACATGTTTGGTTTGTTGCATTTTGTACTTTTAGCTTCTATTCATGGACCATGAATCTCCTTAAAGCATAGAGCTCTGATAACAATTGACTATTATGGGTGGGAAACTTTAATAATTTCTTTCGTCTATTGTGAGATAAGAAACATGCCTGTGATAGAAGAGATCCTAAAAACAATGGACAACTCTATTGTTTTACAACTCTGTGTTGAAATATGTGATTCCTAGGGCACAACAGGAATTTAAACATGTTCTATGGAATATTTCTTCCTTACCCCCAGGAAGTGCAACTACTTTGGTCATTCTAGGGCAGTGATGGCAAACCTCTGACACGCATGTCAGAGGTGACACGCGAACTCATTTTTTTGGCTGATTTTTCTTTGTTAAATGGCATTTAAATATATAAAATAAATATCAAAAATATAAGTCTTTGTTTTACTATGGTTGCAAATATCAAAAAATTTCTATATGTGACATGGCACCAGAGTTAAGTTAGGGTTTTTCAAAATGCTGACACGCCGAGCTCAAAAGGTTTGCCATCACTGCTCTAGGGTAGTAAAATGTCATCTTTCACTGTAGATATAAGAAGTACTTTCAGTTCACTCCTTTGTAATAATAAATGCAGCCTCAGTTAAAGCTGGTCCCTTGGCACTGCATGGGCTGACTGGAAGCTGCCACTTGCACTGGGGTTGTTTCTCCTCTTGTTCCCACAACATTCACTTATCTTCCTTCCTCATCCTCCAAAGGATGAGGCAGAAGAAAGATGACATAAGAGACAGAAATGATCTTAGTTGCCTAATACAATAGTAGCCATCTAGCTGGGCTTAGCCTATGCTTTCAGTTGACTCTGAGGAGCATTTTTGGGGGCATTTTGGTGAGTTTTGTGCTGTTAACAACATCATTGGAATTTCTTTACCTGCAGTTCCCTTGAGGAGGGTGGGTGCTCCTCCAGATGGTCATTTAGGATTCCCCCCTCACTCCCCAGATACCCATTACTGCTTCTCCTGGTTCTTTCTGTTGCGTTGTCTTCACCACTCACCACCCCTCACCACGGGTGCTCTCTCAGACAGGACACAACACAATTCTGAGCTGGCTTCCTAACCCATGTTCCACTGGCAATGCTCACGTGTTCTTTGTTCTAATAAACTCATTCACAAGTGATTCCTGTCACAGTAATATCTTTGCTCTGCCGTCAGTTAATCACCTTGTCACAGTCTTTCCCCTTGAAGATTTCTCAGGCAAGAGTCAAATCCCAGTTTACTGAACCACTGCCACCAAATTCCAGGAGACAAGAACCAAACTTTCTGAAGTTCTACCTTCCACCTTGGCTGTACCTGCAAAACATGTTATATCCCAATTCTCCCCGCAAATCTTCTTCTAATGATCGATCTCCTCTTGGCCTTTCTTTTCTCTTTCATGGGCTGGAAATAATAGTAGGTCCCAAATTTAGGGTGCCAAGAGCCATTTTCAGTGCTTTCCTTTGCAAGTTTGGCTTAGTCTTTTACCTCATTTTGTAATAAGAAAGTAGTGATCTATTTGTTTTTAACTGATTATTTTAAGATTGCAACTGAAACGGAGATAAAAACATTTTATTGTAAATCCCATTGCATCTAAATATCAGTTGCTTTCTGTCCTCTATAAAATTATTTTAAGCACACATTAGTTGATACATTTGTAAAATCTGCAAGGCATAATGCAAGGTCCTATGGTGTTCCTACTCCAGCAGGAAAGAGAAAACAGGTAGCAAGGAACATCTACAGTTACCAGCTCTGCTACCTGAAGTTGGGATGAGCCAATATTCCCCAAATTCAGCCTAATATAATGATGAGGAGCATAAATCCTGGAGCCAGACTGCCTGGATTTGAATCACAGTTTTTCTCTCTCTCACTGTGTGACCTTAGCCAGGTTACTTAATCACATTGTGCTTAGTTTCCTTGTCTGTCAAACGGAGATAAAATAGTACCTTTCTCACAGGGATCTTATGAGAAATACCAGACTTGGTATTGCAGTTAGAACTTAGAACACTATAAAGGTGTTTGCTAAATAAAGAGAATGCCTAAAAGAGAATGCCTGCATCTCTGCATGGACTTCCCTGAGTCCCCTGGATGAATGTTGGATACATTTAAAGTTTTATTGGAAACACAGTGTTGTTGTTGTTGTGTGTGTTTATCACCTGAATCATTCTACACAATCTGGAATAACTAATAATGGCATACATTTTGAAGTAAGGATTATGAAAAATATGGTAGAAAATAAAAATAAGTCCAGGAGACAACAGTATTCCAGAAGTCTATGCAGCTAGAAAAACTGTCCTACTCACTTTGACTCTGAGTTTCCTAATAACCAAAGTCAAAAATGAAATATGAAAAAAAAGAAATGTAATTTTGTCATATTGTCTGTCAAGCCTGAAACAAATAAAAATTTTTAAAAAATTAGAAACCATATTAACCTATTATAAGAAAAAGATCTTTTATGGACAACAAGGACCAGGAAAAAGAAAAATAGAAACCTTTAGGATGTGTGCATGAGGAGGGCAATGAGCACTGTCTAAATAACACCTTCATGTACTTCCCTTTAATCAATGCAGTTTTGGACAGCGTTTTCGTATAACAATTCTCAATGTAAGCTGATACTCTTGCTGTTTAGCTCAATGCCGAGAATCTGGCAAGATGTCTAAAGGATGCGGTCCAAATATTCAGGTTTTCAATATTCTGATGGTTAATTTCTGCAGAAATGGATGGAGTACATGCCCTTTAAATTCCTCTGCCCCCATGGAGTTCTTCCCAATGGAGGTTTGACGAAAGGTGAACTACAGAGAATTTGAGGTTATGTACACGAACAAGGGCCTGCAGTGTTTTAAAAACCCACTGAACTCATGATAAAGTTGACAGTCCTACTGTTAGAGAATGTTTCTCAGAAGCAGAGGACACAAGCCCATGTTTCTTTGCCACCGTGTAGTATGCAGTTCTCAAGTTAACAATAACAAACTCTGTGCTTAGAATTAGATTTGCAACGCTGTTTTGCATAATCCAGAGAGGGGGGTTGATAATCATAGAATCATAGCTAGCCATATCTTAGCTTAGATAGAAAGTAACAACGAGGGAACTGAATTCTAATTCCAGTACCCATCCACCCATTAAGTTATGTGACCTTGAGCAAGTCATTGCACCTTCTTGTGTCATAGTTTCATCATCTATAAAATACTCATAGGATTGGATGATTTGTGTGTGTGTGTGTGTGTGTGTGTGTGTGTGTGTGTGAATAATGACTAAGAAACTGCACTTAAATGCCTGCCTGCATGCCCATACCTTTTCGAGTGACTTTCTATATTGTGATTATTTGTCAGTTGTCTCTAAACAGACTTCATAGCTCTGTTTTCCCCAGTTATTAAAAGGGAGAATGTCAAGCCTCATTTTTCTCATGAAATGTAAAGAGTGGATTAAAGGAGCGGTGAGACGGGAGATGAAAGGATGTCCTTTCACACAGACAGCTGTGCATGTTGTCTGTGGCAACCTCTGGGAAGGAGGCAGCTCAATTCTTTTGAAAGTGTCTTTTGGAATATCAATTATCCATGAAAGAGATGCTTCAGATTTACCCAAATGTCAAGAACCTTTCTTCCACATGAGTCTTTCAGAAGTAAAATCGGAGGAAAACAGCCGTTGTCTGAAGCATGTTCTTGATCAATATCCTGTATGTAATTCTAACTAAATGCTGACGGATCAGCGCAACTTTATATAACTTTTCTCCCCCTCCTCTCTTCCAGCACCAAGGAAAAATTGGAGTTAAATTTAATGTTGGGACAGATGACATCGCCATCGAAGAGTCCAATGCAATCATTAACGATGGGAAATACCACGTAGTGCGTTTCACGAGGAGTGGTGGCAATGCCACCTTACAGGTGGACAGCTGGCCAGTGATTGAGCGCTACCCTGCAGGTAAGCCAGTGAATGGGTATCCGGGGAAGATTTAATGAAAAACAAAACAGTGTTTTGCGTTCGTTTCACCCAATTGTGGGTTTTCTGAGAAACCATCATGTATTTATTGGACTTTAGAGTCATGTGAATGTCCTGCTGTCCTAAACTGTTCTTGATATGATGTGCAAATGGCATTTTAAAGAGGAACTTGAAGGCACACGTTACCGTTTGTGAAATTTAGAACATCAGTGAAATCAGAAAAATGCACACATAAAGGGCACACCATGTCAAAGCTGTTTTTTTTTTTAATTGGATCCTTCCATTTGAACAAAGGAAAGGCTTTGTCAAAAGTAACAGAGTGAAAATTTAAAGCTAAGGGAGGGAATATTATAACCCGTTTCCCTGAAAAGAAATAGAACCAGGTGATTCCTTTGATGGTGATATGCAGCTGAAACTCATGAAATGTGCAGGTGGGCCATGGGACAACCAGAGAAACAGTAAAGGAACTATTTGTAGTACCTGTAAGTCAGTAGCTATAAGAGCCTGAAAATAAATGAGGTTTGTTTTCACTGTCACATAGCTGTGGGGTTTCACGAGGATTCTGACACCAGCATCACTCATTTCAAGTCTCTAAAATGAACGTGAGGCTATCATAGAAAAAATAAAAATGATCGTGTTCATAGTTCATGAGCTTTGTGAGTGCTGCGCTATTGAAACAAAGGCAGTAGATTTGAAATTTAAGCCGTTGTTACTTGTGATTGCATATATTCTCAATTAAAGTAACATGTTATTTTAAAGTAAAATGCAAATTAAAAGTATAAAGGTATTTATTGCCATTATAATCCTCTCTACATTTTGGTACAAAGGAGATTACTAAAAACATCAACCTCATTTTTCTCTGCTCCCCTTTTAGATAGAACTGGATTTTTTTGGCATGTGGATGTGTTGTTTTTTAAAGAAGAGCTATAGAACAGTAGAAAGAAAGAGTGTAAAAAGAAATTTTCATTTTGCACAATAACAATGATTACCTAAAGGTATCTATGAGCCCCTCTATTACAAGTACTTTGTTTCTTGGAAGAAACAATTTGAGGAAATAACTAACTTACTAAACAAAGATCAAGCTTCCTTAGTACTGACTCACGATTATGGAATCGAGTGTCTGTGATGCCTTTGTGCACCTTTGCTGATTTATAAAATTTTACATCTCTAACCCTCATCTCAAACCTCTTTTATAAACTTTGTGCTCTTCAAATATTTGCTCAATTAAATGCAGTATAAAGCTGCTCTATAACAAAATTTAGAAGCAAGCGCATTAATAATACCTGCCTATTATAGTACTGGCAAATAGTGGGTACTTAGTAAATATTTGCAGAATTGATATCCTGGGGAATTATCCCAATTTTACACTATAATTATGAGAATGTGTACCTTCTGTGGCCGTCTGTAGTAAGGTGGACTGGAAGACTGGGAGGAAAGTGCCTGAAATCTGTACACATTGTCACATAGCCCCCAACAATCCCTTATTGCGTTTACTGAAATCCTAGTTGAAATGTATTGTTTTTAATAACTACATCCTTGATGGAATTACAGAAAAATAAATTGGTGAATTTCTTAAAATACAATGAATGAATACCTCCTTACTGAGAGGAAGTCATGGCCCTGGACTCCATAAAAGATAGAAAGCAGGATGAGATCTAGATCCTGACCCTGGAATATGTTATCTGTTAATAGTGGACATGAACATGTAAAATGATCCATTTATTATTATTACAGAGTGGCAGTTGCCTCTTGAAGCCTAGCTTTGTTTCACCAGTTAATGATTTAAACGTACCTTCATTTAGAAACTTTTTCACTCTTTCCACACTTTCCAAATTGGTATCTTTAAGAACGCTGTTCTGGTGAATGTTAATGATGACCTATGTTGGGGGAGAGAGGAATTCCCACTCTCAGCTAAGTCTGAATTAAACTAAATTGAAAGTGGCTAAACTGGGCTTTATTATATTAATATTCATAATTCACCTCTAAAAGGGAAGTATGGTTTGCATTTCCCAAGCACAGATCATCAGAACGTAATTTACTAATGCATTATTAGTTCATGTGGGTAAATATTTTTGTTTTTAAAATTTTTCATACCTCACTATTTTATTATAGCTCATGTGATTAAATAGACCAGATATGGTGTACTAGCTATATTTCAAAAAAGTTATGGTCCCTGTGTTTTTGTGGCATGCTAATATTCAATTTGAATAGTGGTCATTAAGATTGGGCAGTATTAATTAAGTCAGCAAATATTTGTATATTTTTTTTCTGGACTAATATCTGTTTAACACATATAATGTCTTTATTTACCAATTAAATGGATGTTCAGTATAAAAATATATATGTATTTAAAAATCAGAATCTGGCACTGTCATGGTAATGAGCAAATCTTTAGAAATAGATATTTTGTATGCAACCTTTTATATTTAGTCCTTTACCAAAAAAGTATTTTAGATAATATTAATGAACACAGAGTAAGCAAAGCTGCAGTTACTCTGAAGGATGCAAGCAAGGGTAAAATGCAGTTTGCCCTCAAGAAAATTAGAGCACCTGTGGGGAATTTAAATATTTGCATATACAAAGTTAATGATCAATATGTGAAGAGCTCACAGGAGTCACCATCATTGCCATCAGTATTTTATTAATCATCTGCTCTGTGTGCATTTCAGCATGATGCTGAGGTAGGAAATAAGCCGTGAAAATGTCAAATGCCCTTTTTTCTTGGAGCTTCATCTGCCACAACTCCATGAAGGCTGAGTACAAATTTAAGTGTCATCTAGATTAAAGTTGTTAGAACAGAGCAATTTTATGTATAAGTTTAATAGAAATGTCTAGTATATCTCTTTTATGTTGGTTTGTGGATGGCTATTTTTTATTTTTTAAAATTTGTGTTATTATTCATTAGAAAAATAGTTGGACCATAGCCTTTACCACCAAATTCTATAAGGAGAGGAGAAGAAACTAACAGACTATACTTGGTTCCTTTTAAAGTGCCTGTGCAGCAAAATATAGATAATAAGGGCTGAAATTAGTAATTAAGTATAGCACTTAACCTTCCATTATAGGGCTTTGTGGTAAGTACTTTTATATGAGGCAATTTATCTGGTAGCCACACTGTCCTATATAATAAAACCCTAATATGCAATTTGACTGAACAGCGGAATGACTAGAAGAACGACCAGTCACTGTGACGCAAACTGACCACCAGGGGGGCAGACACTCAACACAGGAGCTGCCCCCTGGTGGTCAGTGTGCTTCCACAGGGGGAGCACTGCTCAGCCAGAAGCCAGGCTCATGGCTGACAAGAGCAGTGGCAGTGGCGGGAGCTTCTCCCGCCTCCACTGCAGGCAGGTGGTAAGGAGCAAGGGGTCCCAGACTGCGAGAGTCCCGGACTGTGAGAGCCCTGGACTGCGAGAGGGCACAGGCCGGGCTGAGGGTCCCCCCCATTGCATGAATTTTGGGCACCGAGCCTCTAGTGCCTTTAATAAAAAGTACCTAAAGCATTGACCAGAGTTACCCCACCCGTAATGGTCTGGAAGGCTTTCATAGAGAAAGTAATTAGTAGAGGTTGATTAGATACTCTTTTGGAGGGTATGAAATAATCCCAATAACTCAACAATTTACATTTTAGAATAAATACTGAATTTTCTGCATAGGGACCCAGTTTCTGTTATTTTCTGTACATGGAGCAAACTATCTCTCTCTCTCTATATATATATATATATATATATAAAAGCCTAAGCAATTGAATGACTGGTAGACCGGTTGCTATGAGGCACATGGACCACCAAGGGGCAGACACTCAACACAGGAGTTGCCACCTGGTGGTCAGTGCACTCCTACAACCAACCTCCCACGGTCCCTCCCCCTGTCTGGCCAACCACTCATGATCTTTCCCCTCAGCGGGCCAACTTTCCACGGTCCCTCCCTCTAGATGCCGGCCAGCCTCCCGATTGGCCCCAATCACCAGCCAGTCCAAGAGACCCCACATGTGCATGAATTTGTGCACCAGGCCTCTAGTAGAAATAATATTTTGCAAACCATTTAAAGTTGAGAAAACCATTTATTGATGCTTATCAGTTAAATCTCTAGAATATGATGCATCATTAATCTCTGATTTTCCCCTAATTACAGTTATATAGCAAAATTTTCTCTCCAGAAGAATAAACTTCTCATAATGTTAATCCACAAAGCCAAACACACTATCTTGCTTGCTCAGACTAAAGATTGCTCCATAGAAATCACAATTACCTTTGAAAATAAACCTTTGACTATTTTTCTACCACAGTGTGCCAAAAAGATGTCCTTTATATTATGTATATTAAGGTCAAATATTCATTGTATTCCTGTGAAGTTAACACCTCAAATCAACACATATTTAAAGGAGGTATATACTATATTAAAGGAACATGCTAGGTTTACCATCTGGTTAAAGGGATAAGTAAAAAATGTTCAAGATTCAAAATATAATATGTGAGGAAGTATAAAATATTTCATATTTGGCTAATCTTTGAATAAGATAGAAAGAAAATATATTGTAAGGAGGAAGAGGCCAGTTTGGAAAAACTTGGTTGGGAACTTAAAAGACTAGATTTTTAATTGGAGGAAGGCATGCATTCAGTTTAATGGGATTAGCAGGAAGAGACAGAGACAGAAAATACATAGAAAGTTATTAAATAGTCCAGGTATCAAAAAATAAAGGCTTAACATTGGTATGAGAAAATAAAGAGGATGAATGTAGAATATATTATAAAACCTGGTGAACAACTAAATAAAAGGGGAGTCATTCCACTTTTTAGTTTTCTCTTTCTCTCTTTTTTAAACCATTAATTATTCAATATTGGAATGCTATAGATGTCACCAGACTGCACTATGTAGCAATGAAGTGGAAATCTGCAGTGGGAATAAATAGAGAGGTTAAAGACATAGTTTTTGCTATGAGATCTAAGATCCAAGTTTAGTTTGGGGGACAAAAAAGGATT